AGATGCCACTGTGGGTTGCGAAGAACATAAAATGCAGATGTGGTAAAGAGTGACTCTGCCTAAGGTCGCTTTCAATCAGGAGGTCAGGGCCAGGGCTGCTAGATTTAGCAAATGAAAACAAAAGATACCCCGGGAAATTTGAATTTCAGGTAAACGTCAAATAACTTTTTAGTGGAAGCATGTCTTATGCAATATTTGAGACATATTTATACTAAAACATTATTTATGCATCTGCAGTGAGCTTTCACCTGGGTATCCTGGGTTTTATTTTAAATCTGGCAACCCGAGGTTGGAACGGCCTCTCCGAGGGGATGAAATGGCGTGATCTTGGGGAGGGCGATCTGGACCAAGGGGAGAAAGAGCAGAGGCCCTGATGTGGGAGCAAACTTAGCTTGTTCGAGGGAAGAAGGGAGACCAGGTGGCTAGAGCAGAGTGAGCGATGGAGAGAGTTTGAGCGTGTCCTAGCAGGGGCAGGGCAGAGCCTGTAGGGCTTTGCGTGCCAAGGTGAGGACCATGGATCTTACTCTGAGTCAGTGGAAGCCATCGCAGGTTTTCAGCACAGGAGTGGTGTGGTCTGAGTTATGTTTTAACTTCCCTCTCCTCAAAGCTGTGTGGATGGGGAAATCAGTTGGGGAGACTTTTGAAAAACTGAGACCTGACTCTCCTGCTTGCCTCCCCACGGGAGGAGATGTCTGCTTGGGCCAGCTCCTTCCCTCTCATGGGTCTCAATCTTGCTGGCTGTGAAATGAGTGCTTTGGAGCTGATGGTCTCTGTGGAGCCACTGTCACCTGGGTATTGCGGATAGCAGTTGCCACTTCTCGCAATCCTTGAGCCCTTCCTGGAAGTGAGATCCCTTCCCCTGGCTCTCTCCAGCTGGCAACTGTCCCCTTCTCTTCCTTCTCACCCTAAACCCACAGCCACATGTTCCGCACCCACCGCATCTGTGTCTGCACAACTATTTGTCTGTTTTTCTCTGGAAAAGCAATCAAAGCCGCATGTGGGGCCCCAGGAGGAAATGGAACACTTGGACTCTGAGCACACAGGAGGAACGTTTCCGTATTTGCAGGGTCTCAGGCCTGAGATGCAGCTGGGGTCAGGCTGGATGCAAGGAAACAGGAGGAATTGAACTGAGCATGGTGCTGCAGAGGGGATGTTGTCATTTGCTAAATTGAACTTCTTCCAGCCCCAAGCCTTGGGCCCCTGCCCTTCCCACAGGCTGAAGGAAAGGATGACTGTGTCAGAGAAGGGGCTCAGGGGATGAGGAATGACAAACCTGTGGTGAGCTTGTTACTTACCCACCTCCTAAACCCATGGCAGACATTGCTAATCAATCACAGCATTCTGTCTGTGGGCTCCCCGTGGGGCCCCAGAATCATCCTCACCAGTGTTCCAGTTGGCACTACCCAGTGACTGGGGTAGGCGTGTGGGAAGAAACAGATTTGTCCCTGCTTTCTAGTCTAATCCCTTCTCTCCATCTCTGTGGAGATGGACAGAGAGACCCACCCTGTCACCTCACTAAGATTGCATCCATGTGTTTCATTTTCTCCCTTTCAGAGTGTTCATCTGTCAAAACCATCTTCCCTATATGTGACAGAAACACCAGTTCAGATAGGCTTAAGCAAATAAGGGACTTTACTGCTGCGTGTCAGTGAAATTGTTCAGGAGTGTAGGTTGGTTTCAGGTGTAGCTAGATCCAGGACTCCATACGATGATTTCAGGCCCAGGTCTTTCTCTGACCACAGGCCCTGCTTTTATCTGTGCAGTGCTAGTTTCACTCTTGGAGAATGGGAGGGGTTCATGGGGTGCATGCCTCAGATGGTGGCAGGGGTTCAACAGCAGCTCAAAAACAGCTTCTCTTCCTGGTGATTCCAGCACGAGTCCTTGTGGGCTCTTGAGGCCCAGCTTGGGTCACATGGCCACTGTTACTAGGATAGAGAACTCTGATTGGTTTGGCCTGGGTCATGTGCTCACTTCTGGTCCCTGGGGTGGGGTGGGACCAGCCTGGGAAAGAGCACAGAGCTGGTCTGAGGGGCCTCTAGTCTCTCTTGGCTCCTTCTGTTTTCTTGCTTTCCGTTCATGAAATAGTCACGATACCTGCTCTCTGCCTGTGGCTGCTGTCCCCACTGATACCACAGGCAGTGACCTCAACAGATGCAAACGCTGTCCCCATGGACCTCACACTCCAGGGAGGCTCGGAGGAGAAGGACAGTGCACAAATGAGAAGTAAAACATCTTGGAGTCAGGGCCCATCATAATTTTCAAAATCTGCCTGGCATCCTCCCAGTGCATTCCCCAAACCCGCGAGTCTACCTGCTGCCTTCCTCCTGACTCTGCCTGTCTTTTTTTTTTTTTTTTTGCTGTTAAAACCTTCCCACCTACTGCCTTACCCTGCCAGTTCAATGAAAAAATTAATGAATTTTCTGAAATAATCATGCCGTTGATAATAGCAGCAGCATCAATAAACAATAATGATGCTAGTTAATATTTAGTGAGCACGTACTATGCACTGTTGGAAGCACTTAATATAAATTCACAACGTCATTATGGTAATGATGCCATTGTTGTCTGCACTTTATAGATGAGAATGCAGAGGCCAAGAAGTGTTACTTGTCTTGACCAAGAGCTGGTGGCCAGCAGACTTGGGCTATGAACCTAGATGGTCTGGCTGCAGAACCTGTCCTTGGCACTTACAAGGTTGATGCTGATAGTGGTTGGTGAGAAGGGTCATGGGGGCTTTTCATGTCTCATCTCAGCATAGTATTCATGGTGGGGTTGGCCCAGGGAAAGGCCAGGCTCTTAGCCGCAGAGGGGCATTCTTTTAGCTCCTTACAGGAGGTTGGGACTACCTAATGCCATTCATGTGCCTGCATTCAGGGGCTGGCCCACCTGCTACAGCCCTGCAAGCCTTCTCTGTAGGAGCAGGTTCCCAGACACAGGCCAGTTCCTGTCGCCTACAGCAAGAAAGGTGTTCTCTTTCTGCCTCTTCCTCTTCCCTGCAGCCTGCATCACCACAGCCTGCTAGCCGAAACCCTGGTTCCAGATGTGTCCAGCAGCCCCCACTTACAAGGTTTTACCTATGGCTGGGTGATCCCCTGCAGACCAGACTTCTCCTCACCCAGATCCTTTAGCCTTGATGGTTCCTTAGGCTCATTTGAGACAAGTGGAAATAGAAAAAGGTCTGCTTGGGCAGTGAGTGGATACCGGGGGTCCCCTCTTCTTCCTTACTGTATGTGTGTGTTGGCATCTCAGTGGACTACAGATATTCGATGAGTAAGTTGTGGTTGTGACTCAGTGCATGTGTCCATATGCATGCTGATATTGGTGATGGTGTTTGGAGCACGTAGCTTGTGTGGTATAATGCTTGAGATTATTGGGTGGTTTCTTAGAGTATGCATCAAGATTGTTTGTCTTGTGGTATGTGTGTGTGTATGGGTGTGCACTTTGGGTAATTGTAACATGGTTTGTCTGATATTTTCCCCCATTGATCCATGTTTGTTGATTATGTTTGTAATTAATACTTGTAGGGTACTTTGAAGTATTGTATGATGCTTACTGTGTGCCAGACACCGTTCTACTCATTTTACATATATTATTATTTAATCCTCCTAAGTGTTGGAGGTCAGTTATGATGTCCATTTTGCAGTTGGGGAAACCAAGGCATAGGGAGGTGAAGCGCTTGCCCAGGGACACCCTCGACTTAGGGAGTGTGGAACTGGGTTTCTGGAGTCTCTCTGTGCCCTTCAGTATTCTCGTGCAGTGCCCCTTGGATGCAGCTTAGTCTGGATTTGTGGCTTGAGATTTGTACCCTGAGTATTTGCCTCCCACTCCCATCCCTACCCTATTCCATGACCTTGAGCTGACATTGTCACTGGGGTTAAGGGAGTTTGAGTCCTGGTTCTGCCACTGCACTAGCGGTGAGACCCTGGGCAAGCCACTTTTCCTTGGTTTTGTCATGGGTATGTGAGTCTCTTACAGTAGTTACCATGTAAGGCTGTCACGAGGGGTGATTGAGTTCACCCACATTCCAGGAGAGCAGCTTGCAGCCTGTGCTGTGTGCTGGGTATGTATTCTATGTTGGCCATCAGCACTGACCGTGAAGACATTTTGTAGCTCTAGGTGTCTGCTCAGACTATGCACACATAGCCCCCAGAGGGAGCTGGGGTGGGCTGGGGATGCCTGTTAATTCTAAACCCATCCATCGTCCCTTCTCTTTGGTTTCCTATTTCCTGCAGCCTCCCATCGGAAAGCCATCTGGGGGCTTGTTTAGAAACAAGATGAGCTCCTTGCCTTGTGGACCCACCTCTTCCTTCCTTAGCTTGTTTGGTCTCTTGCACACCGCCACCCCTAGCCCAGGGTTGAGGCCTTGCAGCCCTTCCTCCTCCAGTGGCCTCACCCACAGCATCCTTGTTTAGGGTTTGGTGGGTTCTGTGAACCATTTGGAACCAAGAATGCTCAGTTAAGAGCCTCCTGATAGGAAGGCTCCTGTCTCTTCCAGTTCTGAAAACCCTGACTGATGGTTCTGGATCTGGTGACCCATAGGTGACCTTTAGGTTGAGTCCATCTCTGGCTCAGGAGTGTCTGGAGGTCAGCAGAGCTAGCCCTCAGCCATAACAACTCCGACTTAGGGACTTTTCTTAACTCTACCTTACAGATGAGGAAACCGAGGCACAGGGAAGTCAGGTAACCTGCCCAGGTTCACAGGAAATATAGAGCCATGGTGCAAGCCCAGGCCACTCTTCTTGAGTCTGTACTTTTGACCCCCAGGCCATGCTGCTTCCTGAAAGGTTATTCAAGCTCCTGGGTGCAGCCGTGGGGCATGAGTGGAGTCTGGGAGGCCGGTAGTGAGAGGAGCCGATTTACTCGAGATCCCTCCTGCCGTAGCCTCTCCCGATTTGGGGTAGTCCTTTCCCCCTAGCCTGCCAGCCCAACAGTTGGCACATCTCAGGGCGCCTGCCTCCTACTATGACCTGCCTTCCACAGATTCTGTCCTTGTCTTGCAGAAGGACAAGTTCTACGTGTATGAGGAGTATTGCAGCAACCATGAGAAGGCCCTGCGGCTGCTGGTGGAGCTGAACAAGATCCCCACTGTGCGTGCCTTCCTTTTGGTAAGTTGACCTGTCAGCCCTGGTGCTCCCTCACACTTGGTCTTGGCCTTGGGAATCTCTGGGTACAAGAGGACTTCCTGCTGCCTTGTGGTGCCAAATCCCTTCCTTGGCTGGGGTAATCTCCTCACTAAAGCAGGGATCGGCATGGCTTTTCCATAAAAGGCCAGCTGGGGAATATTTTTGGCTCTGATAGCTGAGCAGCTCTAGGATAGAGAGAACTTCCCTTTCCCCATAGTAACAGCAAAAATCCTAGGTCTGATACACATTGGCTCAAAACCCTACCCCTGAGCCAATTGCTGTAGATGGAGTAATTGGTGATGGTTTTACAATTGGTCACTTCTGGAGAAGGAGGGTGGGGTCAGATCTACCCATGCCACAGAGCCTAAGGGTGGAGTGGATCCCTGAGGCAGTTGGTTTGCATTTGTGGGAATGCAGCTAAGTTGGGAATGGATGTTGGTCAGGAAAACTGTAGACATCTATGATGGTCTTCCCTACATTTGTAGAGAGCCTCAATTATGTACCAAATGGATTCTCATTTGTGATCTCCTTTGAGCCTTTTAGACCACTATCTGTTGTGTATGTGTCAAGATAAACATTTGTCTGCGTTGCAGACATCTCAAAGAACAGTGGTTTAAACAAGATGGACACTTCTTTCTCTTTCTTGTTAACAATGTAGGTGTAGATAGTCGGGGGCTGGTATAGTGGTTCCAGTGTCAGGGGCCAAGGCCCTAGGGTATGGTGCTCATTGACCTGGTCTCAGATGACCTCTGACCACATCCTAATTCCAGGTGGCAGGTGGCGGGAGGGTGGGATGGAAAGCACACAGTTCTCCTTTCTAGGGCATAGCAGGAAGCTGCACACGTCTCCTCCCCTCACGTCTCACGTCCCATTAGCCAGCACTCAGTCACGTGGCCACACGTAGATGCAAGGAAGGCTGGGAAATGTGGACTTTATTCTGAGCAGCCATTTATTACTGTGGAAGAATACATTAGGGGACACTGCATAGTCTTTGTCACAGGTGATTTTGGTGACTTCAGAATATTAAGTGAGTTTCAAGGGGTCCATCCTTGAAAAGTGGTTATGCTTCTCCTGGGTTTCAGTCCCAGTCCTTCACCTCTGAATCCCCTCTCATTCAATCGTTGACATCTCCCCGTCCCCATACCGTTTATTTTCCCAATGGCACATACTGAATTCAGCACATGAAAGTAGAACAATTAACTGACACAGCAACGGAGTGTGACCCACCTTCTCAGAGTGCTAAACTACAAAATAATATTCCTCATTGTACTTCTCCTTCACACACAGTCTCCAACAAAGCACTTCCAGAATTTCCATTCCAAATGTATGTTTCCTTCACAAGTGAGTTCATGTTGGTTGGCCCGGCTCCAGGGAACATCTCAGGAAGGGCAAACTGGCGGACTGATTTACTGATTTCCATCTTTGTCCCAAGTGAATTAAGCTTTCAGGACTATTGCTTTTCATAGCTGATATCTGCATCTTCACATTTCTGTGTTTGCACTTATATTCATAAAATAGTCTGGGCAGAATGTAAAGATGAAGTCATGTTAGTGCCAGACCCCACACAGATAGGAATGGCCACATGTCTGCATTGACCTGTTGGCTTGCAGACAGCACCCCCCATTACAGTTCCTGCTGCCCAGGCACTGGGCACCCTGGCCGAGGGTCCCACCCTCTGAGGGTGTTCTCTCAGGTTCAGCTGGGTCCTGGGAAGCAGGAATATGCCAGGAAGGTATGGGCAGGGAGTGGGAAGGGAAGGGCTGACTTTCCTTTCTTTCCTTCCGTCCTCTCTCAAGCAGTCTTCCTGGTGGGTCAAACCGCCCTATTCCTAGCAGCAGCTGGGTGGGCTGGGCTGGGCAGGGGAGGATGCGTGGGGTGCCAGCACATGTGCCATCTGTCTCCCTCCTTGCTGGCATCTCCCAGCTTTTGGCCACCTGCAGAAGAACTGTTGTGAGTCTGTTATGGGACATTAAGGCTTTGGGAACAGACAGAATCTGGCTTTCCATCCATGTTGTGCTGGGCACCAGCTGAGTGATGGAGCAGTGACTTTATGTTTCTCTGCCTCAGTTTTCTTTTCTGTAAAATAGGAATGATTTATTCATTTACTCATCCAACAACTTCTTAGTAAGCACCTGCCATGTGGTAGGGATCATTCTAAGTCCTAAAGATCTGACAGTGAACAAGACAAGAGAAGTCCCTGTTCTCACAGAGGCCATTCTGGTTGGGGAAACTTCAGCGATGATGTGACACAAAGTTCTCCGGAGGATGTACAGTCAGGATGAGAGGATGTTTTGAGGGAGTTAGGGTGGTGGTTGTTATTTTAGATTGGTCTTTGGGAGAACTGCATCTTGGGTGACATGTAAACAGAGGTGTGGATGAAGTGGAGGAGAGCGAGAGAGGGGAGGGGGCCGTGTAACATTTCAGAGAGATAGAGAACCTGCGAGTGCAAAGGCCCTGAGGTAGGAGTGTGTCTGAGGAATTGCAGGGCCAAGGGTGACTAGAGTAAAGGCCGTAAGAGGAAAAGCAGGAGGAGATGAGGCTGGAGAGATGGAAAGGAGCCAGGTAACGAAGGAGCATGTAGTCAGTGGAAAGAGTCTGAAATTTTTTGTTCTGTTTTTTGTTTTTTTGAGACAGGGTCTTGCTGTGTTGCCCAGGTGGGAATGCAGTGGCACAATTGTGGCCCACTGCAGCCTTGACATCCTAGGCTCAAGCCATCCTCCCATCTTAGCCTCCTGAGAAGCTGAGACTATAGGTGTGCACTACCATGCCTAGCTAATTTTAAAAAAAATTTGTGGAGATGGGGTCTTGCTATGTTACCCAGGCTGGTCTTGAACTCCTGGGCCAAAGGAATCCTCCTGCTTTGGCCTCCCAAAGTGTTAGGAGTACAGGTGTGAGTCATTCTGCTTAGTCTAAGTATCAGATTTTCAAGAAGCTTTTGAATTAAAGTATAGCGTCCATGCAGGAATTGCACCCCAGGATGATGAATGCTCACAGACATCTACAGCATGGAATCACCAAGACCGAAGAACATTCCTGTCACTCCAGAAGCTTCCTTCTTTCCCCTTCCTAGTCATGGCCCCCAGGCCTCCAGAATCCCTCTGCTGACTTCTCTTACCGAAGCTTAGTTTTGCCTGTTCTAGCATCGTCTATGAATGGTATCGTTCAGGATGTGTGTGCGTGGGGCTGCCTTTGCGCAGCACGATGTCCGTGGGATTGCTCTGTGGGATCCCTTCACGTTGGAGCTCAGGGCATTGCGTTAGAGAATATTTCGTTTTATTCTGAGTGGGATGGAAGCCGTGGGAGGGTTTTGAGCAGAGGCATGACTGGATCTAATTTGCATGGTGAGAGGCCCCCCCGCCATAAGTGTCTGGGTAGAAGTATAGGTCTAGGGAGGGGCTTGTATGCATTTCCTAGGGGACCAGGACAATTGCCACAGATGGGGTTGCTTAAAACAGCAAAATTAATTCTCTCTCAGTTTTGGAGGCCATAAGTCCAAAATCAAGGTGATGGTGGCTGCTCCCTCCCGGGGCTCCAGGGAAGGATCCTGTCTTTCCTTTGGAAGCTTCCAGCAGCCTCCGGTGCTCCTTGGCTTGTGGCAGCATCACCCCAATCTCTGCCTCTGTCTTCATGTGGCCTTCTTTTGTGTCTTCCCTCCTCATGAGGACATGAGTCGTTGGATTTCGTCTTAACCAATTACTGTATTTCTGTAAAGACCCAATTTCCAAATAAGGTTACATTCTCAGGTTTTTTGGGGGCCTGGCGTTTTGGGGACCACTGTTCAACCAACTACAGGGCTACTGCAGCGTCCGGGCAGGAAGCGATGGTGTCTGAGAACAGGGTTGCTGGTCGTGGTGGGAGAAGTGGTTGGATTCACATAGAGCTTGAAGGCCTGAGTTGACACAATTGGTGATCAGCTGACTTCGGATATAAATGGTCACTGACGTTGGATATAAATGAACGAGAGGCGCCAAATATGACTTTAGGGTTTTGGGCCCAAGCAATGGGAAGAGTGGAGTTGCATTTTCCCAAGAGGGTGCAGGCTAGGGTAGAAGAGGGAAACAAACATTCCCTTTTGGATGCGTGAGGTTTAAATGCCTGCATTATGTCCAGGTGGGGTGATGGGTGGGCAGCAGAGACTCAAGTCTGGAGTTTAGGGAAGGGTGGACTGGAGAGATAAACCTGAGCATTTTCAGTATAAAGAAAGATGGTGTTTAAATCTAAGTCAGGGACGGGCGCGGTGGCTCACGCCTGGTAATCCCAGCACTGTGAAGGGCCGAGGCAGGCAGACCACCTGAGGTCAGGAGTTCAAGACCAGCCTGGCCAACATGGCGAAACCCCATCTCTACTAAAAATACAAAAATTAGCTGGGCATGGTGGCACATGCCTGTAATCCCAGCTACTAGGGAGACGGAGGCAGGAGAATCATTTGAACCTGGGAGGCGGAGGTTGCAGTGAGCCAAGATTGCACCACTGCACTCCAGCCTGGGTGACAAAATGAAATTCTGTCCAGGAAAAAAAAAAAAAAAAAAGTGCCAAGTCAGGGGGGGATCAGCGGGGCGGGGGGCGGGGGTGCAGCATGGACAGAAAGGCGGACTCAGGACAGCTTAGGAACGTGCCGCCATTAGGAGGTTGGGAAGACTGTGAGGTGGACGCCTCACCTGAATCACTTCTGTAAATTTCAAGCATTTAAGGACTTCTCAGAAGTTCTTTCCATAGTGCCTGAAATGTAATGAGAATAGTGAATGCTAGCTCTGTGTGTGTGCCTGTGCCTGTTTTTTTTTTTGTTTTTTAAGAAAATAAAGTGAAACAACAACCTAGTGTGTGTGTGGGAAAGTGTTATTGGTGGCTGTGAAAATCTTGTGAAAACTCCTTGATCCTGGACAAAATGGGTCCTTCTCCCTCCAAGCCCTGGGGGCTTCTAGAAAGCACCTTCCCCACCCCCCATGCTCCGTGCGCTCTGCCCAGAGCTGACATCACCAGGGCAGCTTGTGGCGAGCGCTGGCTCGTAGGACAAAGACCTGAGTGTGAGCAGCGTGGGGCCTGGCATCTCCCAGCTGCTGAAGCCTCAATCCCCCATCTGTGCCAGGGGTAGACACGGGTGGGGGCCATTCTGCTCAGCTAGAGCTGCGACCTGGGGTCCCTAGAATTCTGCTTCTCCAGGCAGAGCCTATTGTGATTCCCAAGAGGCAATGGAGATAGCTCTGAGACTTGGGCCAGCTCTTTGTGCCACAGTTTCCCCATGTGTGGTAGGGGGAGAGTGGTCCATGCTTACTTCTTTAGGCTTTCAGCATGAACTTTATGTGTATGTGAAGCATGAGGCCGAGTGCCTAGCATGTGGTGGGCATACGGTTTGTGTTCTTACAGTCTGATGTTCACTTGAATATAAGCAGGGAACTTGTCTTGTTTGACAGCCCCTCAGTGCTTGGAACTGTGCACAGCACACAGGACACAATGTGTATTTGTTGAATGAGTGAATACATGGTAGGATGGGAATCCCTTTTCCCAAGAGTCTGGATTCATTTCCAGTTTTGCAGGGTGGCGTTGAGGAGGAATGGCCGGATGTGTTAGTGGTTCATTCCTTCTTAGTTGGTGAGTTCATTCACTTATGCATGATGGGCACATAGTGAGCCTGAGGGACCCAGGACTGTGAGGGGCATGGCACGGAAACACACGGAATTCATGGTTCCTGCCAAACAAAAATAGGTTCTTTAGTTGGAGCCCCTCTGAAGGAGAGGACAGTGCCTGGAATGTGATTGAGAGCCACGTGGAACAAATGGCCACCTATGGAGGCTCCAGGAGGAAGAAGTCTTGAGAATTGAGAGCAGGATGGGTGGCTGGGCTGGTCTTGGTGCATGAGTGGGCTTGGGTAAGGGCACACTGGCATCATGGTTTCAATTCCAGACTGTGTCAACCTGCCTGGCTCTAGGTCCCAGCTCTGTGGCTTACTTTTCTGGGGTGGTCTTGGAGTAAAAGACAAAACCTCTCCAACCCCAGGAGTCTGAGTTCTGAGAGGAGAATAATAATAGTTTTCAGTCAACAGTGTGGCTGGTGGCCAGGAGCCCCAGGGGCCTCTGGACGTATGACTAGCTCTTGGTTATTGTTAGCAGTGGATGATGGCAGTGTTATCGTTTTAATTATTATTGGGGAAGAGAATACGTTCCAGACAAGGGGCATGGAATGAGCCGAGAGAGGCAAGGGGGCTGCAGGGCGGAAGTATTGACATGGAGGACGCTGAGTTGATTCATGTGGACAGGAGCTTGGGGGTAAGCCTGAGAGTTAGGGTAATGGTATTTCATTCCTAAGAGAGCTGCACTTTTTAACTCTGCAAGCCAAAACTCTGCTGCCTATGACGGCACTTGCGTACGCTCTCCCCAGGAAAAGAACTAGGACATCTTCAGTAACAGCTGAAGATGTCCTAGTTCACTTTCCAACCCCTAACTCTCCCTCTACAGAGGGAGCCCTCACTGGAATTGGGTGCATTCCTTTTCCATGCATGTCTTTATATTTCACTACATACATGCTCTCCATAAACAGTGCCTAGTTTTTTTTTTTTTTTTTTTTTTTGGGTGATAGAGTCTCTCTCTGTTTTCCAGGCTGGAGTGCAGTGGCACAATCTCGGCTCGCTGCAACCTCTGCCTCCTAGGTTCAAGCAATTCTCCTGCGTCAACCTCCTGAGTAGCTGGGATTACAGGTGCACGCCGCCACGCCTGGCTAATTTTTGTATTTTTAGTAGAGATGGGGTTTCACCATGTTGGTTAGGCTGGTCTCGAACTTCTGACCTCATGATCCGCCCACCTTGGCCACCCAAAGTGCTGGGATTACAGGTGTGAGCCACCGCGCCCATCTAACAGCATCTAGTTTTATGTTCTGTGTCTTTAAACGATTTCTATAAATGGTTTAATACCCTCCTTATCCTTCTTTCTTTTGCACAAGAGTATATTTTTGGGGTTCACCCATGTTGCTCCACGTGGCACTGGTTATCTAATTTTCACTGCTGCGTAGCTAGCTACCACTGTATCAATCCGCTTCAAACAGACTGAAACAAAAATAGAGACGTTTCCATTCTCAGGTGCCATTACCCTAAGCCCACCCATGCACCAAGGCCAGCCCAGCCACCCAACCTGCTCGCAGTTCCCAAGACTCCTGAGCTCTTCCTGGAGCCTCCATTGGTGGCCATTTGTTTCACGTGGCTCTCAATCACATTCCAGGCACTGTCCTCTCCTTCAGAGGGGCTCCAACTGAAGAACCCATTTTAGTTTGGCAGGAACCATGAGTTCCACATGTTTCCCTGCCATGCCTCTCACAATCCTGGATCCCTTGGGCTCACTGTGTGCCCATCATGCATAAGTGAACGATCTCACCAACTAACTGCCTTGTGTTTTGAGTCTCCTGGTGTGTATATGTGAAAGCTTCTCTAGACCAGAAATTGGCGAATTTTTCTGTAAAAGGCCAGATGGTGAATATTTTAGGTGGTGCTGCTATATGGCCTTTTTTGTAACAACTCAGCTCTGCCGTTGTAGCTTGTAGGGGGCCACAGACAGTGTAATGGATGTGGCTGTGTTTCTAATAAAACTTTACCAAAACGGGAAGTAGGCAAGATTTGGCCCGCTGGGCTTTGTGCTGGTTGTGGATGATGTACATTTTCACTTCTCTTAGGGGTTGCTAAATCACTGCCCAAGTGATGCTTGTAGCTGTGCTCTGAGAGTGCTTCCCATGCTTGAGGGTGGCCATGTCCCTGTGCTGTCCTTGGTGGATTTAATGAAGGTCTCCTGTCCCTTTGCAGAGCTGCATGCTTCTGGGAGGCCGGAAGACCACGGACATCCCTTTGGAGGGTTACCTATTGTCTCCGATCCAGAGGATCTGCAAGTACCCGCTCCTCCTTAAGGTGAGACTATCCCACATTTGAAGTGACAGAAAACCCATTGGTTTCAGCAGAAAATAAAATCTGTTAGTTCAAGTATCTGAGAAGTCTGGCAGCAGTGTCAGCTTTAGGCTGGGCTGGATTTAAACCAGGACCTTTCCTCTTTCTCTCTTGTTCACTCTGCTTTCCACTGTTCAGGCTTATTTTCAGTGTGGCAGCAGGTGGCTGTGGTTCTCCTGGCCTCACAACCTCTCAAGTTTAAGGTCAGCGGGAAAGAGAACCGCTCTACTAAGGATTCATCCTGGCTTTGGCCATCTGCGGCCAGGGGAAGGTCATATGCCAGTTGGTTTGAGCCTGAGTCATGTGCTCTGACCCAGACCAATTACATGAAGCCTTTGCATGTACCAATCCTCCAGTCAACATAGACCCACACTTTACCTCTGAACCAATCACCTGTGCTTTACCCCGAACCAGTCACTATTGCTGTGCTCTGATCAGCTGAGACATGGTCCCACACTCCACTCTGATCCAATGACAGTGAGTAGGGCAGTGTTGTGTTGTGACTGGCTGATACCTGTGTCAGGTGCTCCACTCCTGAACCAATCATTCTGAGTAAGGGAATTCTAATTGGCTCAGACTTGGGTCATGTGCTCCAACCTTGAACCAATCACTGGGTCCCACAGGCCATGAGTGAGGACAGATGAACCCCACCTGACCAAAGTCTGAGCTGTTTGTGGAAGGCAGAGTGAGGGCAGGCATAGGCACTAGCTGGGCAAACACAGCCATCTATACACCTGCTGTTTCCTTCCCTGCTGCCAGCCCTGGCTTCTTCTTGGATGGGCCAACCAGGGAAGATTTGCTGCTTGTGTGGGGATGGAGAAGGCTTGATTCTAGGCTTCAGGCTAGCTGCTGGACAGATCCTGAGCCTTGGGGTTGGCTCTCCACCTTCCACTGCTCTCAGCCCAGGGTGTCAACCCTTGGAAATGGTTGAACAAAATGGCTGTTGGCTGGAGCCTGTCCTGGCTCTGTCCTGAAGGCAGCTGTGTTCCGGGTTCCCTGCAGGGCGGGGCGGGGGTGGTGGGGGAGCGGTTAATTTGGCTGGTGGGGCCTCATTCGTGCACCTGCTTACAGGGGCCTGTATATTTTTGCTTCATGAACTGGATGGAAAGGGAGAGGGAAAGGGCACCAGGACATTCTTTATCTTGGTTTTCTGCTGGAGAAAGCGGGTGATGCTGGAACCTCTGAGCTGGGCCAGACCCTGGGACCATCAACTCTGCCCACGAACACAGGCCTTTGCTGTGCGCAGCTGTGGGGGTGGGACCCAGCTCTCCTATGCCTCCTCTGCCCCGCTGCTGCTGTTGATCTCCCTCAGCAATCTCGAAAGGAACTTCAGTGCTTGTTCTTACCATGGCTTTGATCCCAAAACAGGTCTTGGAAATGCTGTAGTTCAGGTCGTCACCTGGGTGTGGAAGAAGCTTTGGGTGAAACTTGCAAACTGGTAGCCTGTGGACCACATCGGGCCTGCAGATGTGCTTCGTTTCATCTGTGTGGTGTGTCTTTCAAACTTGAGTTAGTTGCCAGCATCCAGAGGAGGTGTACTGTAGTGGTTAGACATGGGATTGGCAAAACTGTGACCTTGGGCCAAATACAGCCCATGGTCTGTTTTTGTACAGCCTATGAGCTAAGAATGGTGTTTATGCTTTTTTAAAAAGGATTGTTCAAACAAACAAAACCCCAGAAGAATATGTAGCAGAGTGGACGTGGCCTAAAATATTTACCGTCTGGCCCTTTATAGCAAAAACGTGCTGACTCCTGGGTGAGAGCCAGGCGTTGCAGCCATAAGCAGTTTGGGCTTGAATTTCTCTGTCATTTATGGGCTGTGTGACCTTGGGCAAGTCACTGTACTTCCCTGTGCCTCAGTTTCTCATTGAAGCATAGGCTTCCTGTTAATGGTATTTATGGGGTTGTTATGATGAGTAAGCATGGACTTAGTCCTAACAGTGACTCAACAAGGTAGGCACTGTGATTAGCCCCATTTTGGAGATGGGGCAACTGAGGCACAGAGAAAAGAACACACAGTAGATAAGCAGTAGAACCACCGTTAGAACCTGGGCACTCTGGTTCCAGAGGTCCACCCCTAACCACGTGGCTGTGCTGCCTGTTGAGAAGCATTTTGGGGAGTCAAACTGCCAGTGCTTGGGTATCAGCGACGCTGCCCTTCTCAGTTCCCTAAGTGGGGTCTAAGAGGTCGGTGGCCCTGTGTTTTGTGGCTGGTCTGCTTCTCCTCTGGGTTTCAAAACCTTGAACATCTGACCCATAAGAAAAACCAGCAGCCATAGCCCAGAGCTGAACTGAGGTTTAATTTCTAGATCTTTCGTAAGTCCGGGTTCCAGCAGGCACTTGTAGCTGCAGCTTCCGTGACATGTTTTAACAGACAGTGGGGCTGGAAGGTGTGTATGGTGGACTCAGCTTGACATGAGGTCCAGGCATTTCTGAGGCCTGTTCCCATTTCCACAGGGGCCAGAGTTTGGTCTGGTGGGATTCTTGGGTTCTGGATTCCCAGGAGAACAGAACCGCCCAACAACCCATGGAGGAAATGGCCTGTAGAAAATGGCGATGGGGTGGCCACGGTCACTCCCCTGACCAGGCGGCTGTTGATACTGCCCACTTGCGCTCTAGCTGTGTTTATTGGGTAGGAGATTGGGGAGGCTTTTCGGGAGAGAGCAAGCTGGGCCTTAGACTCTGGTGGGCCATGCCTTGCTCCCTGCCTGACACATCTGCTCAGTGTGCCCGGCCTTTGGCACCCAGAGCAGGAACATTTGCATCAGCAAACACCCAGCCTGAGGGGAACTCTGCCCCCCACCTCCGGAGTGCCTCCATTCTGTCACATTTTCCAGTGGATTTTCAAAGATGATCCCATGAACTTGAAGCAGCTGAGCTCAAACCCCCAGCCCACCCCCTCTGGCCCCTCCAGATTCAGACGCCCTTGCAAGGGTCCCTGCCGCCCTCTGAGCTCCCTTGTTTGAGCTGAACTCCCACTCGGCGTGGGCACACAAGGTCAAGGAGCCTGGGTAGGAAGAGGGAAGAGGCGAGAATGAAAGCCTTTTTGGGAACAGCCCCCAAAAGCTGAACTTGAACATTGCCTAAGAATAGCCAGAACAGCCTATCTCGACCCTTTGACCCAGGCCTGGGATAGACATTTGGCATTTCAGACTTTGTTGAGTTTTCCATTCACGTTGCCAGGGAAATGGTTCAGGTTGAGGGGGATGCCCCTGGTGCACAGCTGGCAAGTGCCTGGCGGGGGACCTGACTGTCACTAATCCTCTCAGTTTTTCCTGGTGATGCACACATCTGTGTCCCTGCTTGCTCTCCATAGCCGTGAACAGGACAGACCCAGGCTCTCCCGCTTAGAGCATCCAGTCTTGGGCTGGGCCCCATGGGGGCTTGGTGTGTGCAGTGGGGGACCATCCTGGGGCTGACTGCAGGGGACACACCCTGTCTCGGGGCAGCTGCCACCTTTGCCCCCAGCTCTCTAGCCACTTGATCTTGGTCTCCTCTGCTGCTTCCTCATCTCCGGGACCTCTGAGGAAAGATGGGCCCTGGGCTTAGTCCTTCGGTCTTTTCTTCATCTAGACTTGTTCCTGTGGTGGCCTCATCCACTCTGTGGCCCTTTGTAAAAACAAAATATACTCTGGCTGGGTGTGGTGGCTCACGCCTTTAATCCAAGCACTTC